GAAGTGGGTTAGTCACAGAACAAGAGCTGGGGAAAGCTCATTTTAAATCTCACCAACCTGAAGTTTGAAGTTTGGCAAATCACCTCCTTTCACTGTCTCTCTTTTCCTATTCCTACTACCCGCTTTGCCATTAGTTTGTAATTTCTGGAAGGCAGCAATGTCTCTTTGTACCTCTGCAGCACAAAGCACAGCTGTGCTCCAAACACACAAGAGACCTTGAGGCACATCCAAAATGCAACACGGAAAAATCCATTGTGCACTTGACAGGGTCGTATTCTGCCATCCTGTCTCATGCTTGCACGGTGCATTACGCCGTGAGAAATCCTGTTGAAAACCACAGGACTATTTGCAGAACAGGGCACTATTCAGAATGAATGAACGTGGCAGAATTCCTCTAATTATTTACTTTTCATCAACACCTGAGAGTCTACAAGAAACAGAAAGTTCTCAGACATGTACACCCCCTGGATGAATACACACAGGGAGGGCGCACACACTCCACCATAAAGAACCAGACCATTTTTGCCCTCACGGTACCCATAAGGATGCATTCATTCCCCATTCCCCTTCTATCCAGACACAAAATGGAACGTATTGACATCAGGTAAATTCTCTCCCAACCACAGAATCCCAGTGCTGCACCAGTTCAGTCTGCAGCAAAGCTCTTGGCTTGTACTTGACTTTCATGCTTGATTGTATGGAGCCAGCCTACTCCCAAGGGGAGGTGGAGGTAGAGGTGAAAGCAACAGCGGTAATAAGAGGGGGATAGTTCATGACTCCCAAATACATTTTTAGCAAAGCTGACATGAGCAACGGCTACACAGAGCAGCTGCTGCCAGAGGAGACCGTGAGTCAGACCTAGTTTGTGACCACAGATCTAAGTCAGAATTGTCCCAGGAATTAATTCCTGAATTTCTATCCAGACAAACTACAGTACTGAGGGTTTTCCTCAGCCATAGTTGAGAGAATACCTAAACCAAGCTATCTCCTGTGAAGCTTCAAGGGAAAAAAAAAAAAAAAAAAAAAAAAGAAATTGTCAATGCTCGGGCCACACTGGCTACAGGTTTGCTCAGAAGTCCTCTTAGGTGTCACCCAAAAAGAGGGTAGCAAAAAACCCCCAGTGTCTAGATGTTTGCTTTGGTTTTTTTGTTGTTGTTTGTTTGTTTTTTTTTTTTAATAGAACAAAGCATGCTCAGTAACTTGGCAGGCGCAGCAATGTGGATGAGCAGATTCCCTCACCCAAGCAATCAAAATGCTGGTGATCTTTCTCTCATATGGAGAATAACTGGTCTGCTTAGGAGCCACCATCACAACCAGCAACAGTCGCAATGGGTGGGAATAGAAGAACTCTTGATCACATTCCCAACCTGGAAATGTATTACCTGTTAATGCTCGTGAAGTAAAGCCCAAACACCCCTCTTGACATTGCTGGGATCATCTCCTTTTCTTTTGTCACAGACAAGCAAGAATAAGACCCAATTTTGTCATACTGCAGGGCCCCCAGCTCAAACTTGACACCTTCCACTGCTACCCCAAATTCAGGTTTTGTGAAATTGAAGTGGCACGAAGAATGACCATGGAAGCAAGTTCTTTCCCTGAACCACTCTGAGAGGCGATCCCCAAGTAATTTGTGTGGCTTGGGGATGGAGATCTTTGTACAGTGAAGGGGAATTCAATCACATGCAATAATCTTAAAAGGAAGGTGGATAGAGCATGACCTTCACACATAGCATAGAACTGACATTGCAGCTTTGAAGCAGGTAGCAAGATCCTGGCTAAAGATGAGAATTACTCACATGAGAGCATGGACACACTAAGATCAAGAGAATACAAGAAGAAGTTGAAGTGAGGAACTGTACTCTAAAGAGTTTCACTTCATTACGCAGCTGGGAAGAACTGAAACAGCACAAGAAGTTCTCCCTCCCACACGCGCGCGCACTGTGTGTGAAAAGCAGGCAGGGTGTAGGCATAACTTCAGTGACTGTGAGGGCAAAACAACTCAACTGGTACAGTGATAACATCAATGAGGGCTAGCCTATGGAAGAGGAATGCGTAATACGATAGTTTAATGCACTGATTGACCTTTGTTGCTAAAGATACTCAAGTTTCACAAAAAGAGTCTTTGCCTGATTTTTCTTACCACTTGCTGATGATCAAAAGCCATCATGCAACAAAGCACATGATCTGTAAAAAAACATAAAGGTAACCCAGAACTCTCCCAAGCTCCAAACCAGGCCAGAGGAAAGAGGAGGTATCCTGTCTTTTGAACAGTGCCAAACCACTGTGAATTTGCAAATTATCCCACTTGTCCAACCTCCAGACTGTCCTGCCTGTTTTTGATTAGCTGCTTCTTCCCTTGTTTTCACCATTAGCAACTATCTTATATGGAAGAACACGACACAGGCAGCCATCAAGTATACCTTTCACAGTAGTCAGACAAATCCAACATACGTAAAAATTGCATGCCAAATGAATTTTATCCAGCATAAAACCAGTGTAAGGCTTTACATACTATCAGGTTCTGCGCTGCCTACAGGCTTCTACTTGTCAAAGAAAACCAAAGAAGTGTGATGTATTATTGTGCGACCCCAATCATCTGCTAGGTGTAATTCTACTTTAATCAATAGAGCTAAATGAGCACGAAAACCGGGTAATGCAGGCATCAGACCCCACGTGTTTAAAGATCACCACCCTCATCCCCCATGACCCTATTAAATGCACAATTCCTATTGCATATCGAAGGGGTTTCCTTTGGAAGCAGAAGCTCTTGTCCGATATATTTGCCTGACCACTTTCTGCTGTACCTAAGTTAATGTTTCACACATTTATCCGTATGACACCTCTGTGTATCATTTCCATCTTCCAGGTGGGAAATTACAACAAAAAGAGCAAGGGTGCTTACCTATCTGAGTCATACTGAAATCACTAGAAATTTGTACCATTTTACAGGTGTTTGGACACCTGAATGACTTAATCCAAATGACACAAGACTCTGTGGACAAGAATGTGGGTCTCCCAATTCCTACGTGTGGCTCTAGCCCCAGAAGTGATCTTTTCTCACAGCTTATAGCAACTTGGTGGACTTGGTAGTGTTAGGTTAATGGTTGGACTCGATGATCTTAAGGGTCTTTTCCAATCTAAATGAGTCTTTGATTCTATGAACTTGTAGCATAACAGCTGATGACGTATCAAGCAGCGAGCATGAGAACTCTGCCAGCATCATTTCTGGAAATACCAAGCCATTCATCAATTCGTATCATAAAAGGTTTTGCCAAAGCATCAGCCCTCTGTGATATTTACACAACCACCACCTTCCCCTCCTGTAGATCCCAATATGACTGACGCATTTGTGTTTTACAGTACAAAGTGAGAGAAGCTATGTATGAAAAACGCCTGAAGGCGGAAGCAGTTTCCTTTTCAACACCATTTGCTCATAAATGAGAAATCTACAGGACTCAGACAAGGATTCATAATTCATATAGTTCATATTCATGTTACAAGAACAAAACAACCAACCATGACTGACAACTGTTTTCTGTTAAAGGCTAAGAATTATCAGCAACAGCAGATAAATAGTCAGTTGTTTTTTTGCTGTTCCCATGCTGTTATCATTTGACCAATATTAAAATAATTTTTCTGTCATTCACCCATTACTTATGAGCCATACTTACTACAAAACTCTACAAAACAAAAGCAACACCGTTACTGCTCACATTCTTTACAAGAAAGATAGCAAGTCCTCTTTCATCGTACTTAAAATGTCTAATAGATATTCCAATCACCTTATACACCCATATAATTGAAAAATTAGATAAAAACATTAGAAGTGACAGAAAAATGCCTACTAGAATGCTTTTTTTGCTTTGCTTATTGTACAGAGTCCATGCTGAATAAAAGGTCATAGAAGTGGCTGAGAAAACATTCTCATCACAGCTATATGTAAAACATCCTTCCATGTTGCTGCCAAAAATATTATGTCCCCAAAAGATTACACACCATTCTGCAAATTAAAGGTATGCCTGTTGACAGACTTACTATCCTAATACCGTACTTAGGAAAAGATGGTAATTTCCAGGACTCTGATCCTGCACAACACTTCAACACATGCTTAACGGTTTGTGGGACTATTTATAAATGCATAAGTTTTGCTGGACTGAGCAAGAGCGCTTCTGCACTTTCCATAATGGACCAACAGTTTGGAAATGAAATATAGCGCCCTGATGCTCCCCTGCATTGTTGCACTTTTGCTTAGTCATTTTATACCTGTGTTATGAGTATTTGTAGCAATAACACTTAGAATCACTATTTTATGCCCACTCATCCCAGGGATAAAAGGGTTCAAGGCAAGGAAGAAGAATCACATCTCAACTATATGCCTTTCAGAGCTGGTGACATGCAAATTAATCAGCTTTGAACATTTACTGTAGCAGGCACATAGGTTCCTAAACTACTAGCTAAAATGAAGTACTAACATAAAGCTCCTAGGTTCTACCAGTATTGAGGGATAACAGGTTGAAAACCAGATTCCCCACCATCACAAAACAAGACAGACCCCATATTTCTCATTACAATCATTTTTTACAAAGTTCTGTTGACCAGATCTGGCAGAGAAGCAGGAAAATATGAACCGAGATCCTAATAATTCTTTCAATCCATCTCAGTAATACAGTTTCTCTGTTTATTTCAAGCTTTACACAGTGCTCCTGGACTCTTCCCTAAACAAGCTTTTGGCTAACAGAGCCTTAAGCGCAGATGGGTCTCTGACCTTATTTAGCAGGGATCCTCCTGAAGGCATTGCTGTCTGATTTTATAACATTTGATTCAAATGGTTCAGTGACTTGGCCAGGGCACGTAACCCACTTTTTTAACGCTTGGTTCGTTAGCAAAGCTCACGTTTATTAACTACAAGTAAATTTTGCTTAACATTGAACTCCCCTACCACTAATTATCTGTCTTAAATAGCAATTAATTGTGAATAATAAAAAAAAATGATCAATTACCGATTTCCTCTCTTGTTTCAGCTCCTGCACATAGCGTGTTAACTCTCCAGTGATAAGAGAGGTCATGTTCTCTGAAATGACCTCATGCTGTCCGGCATAGTCATTCATTTCATTTAAAGTGGCTAGGAAGGCTCTAGTTGATGTGTACCTGCAGAGGACAAAAACGCATTCTGCTTTTAGTCCCTTTCTTTTCAGAAAGACACACTGCAAAGGGAGATCGTATCCTTCTTAAGCATTTAGTATTGCTACATGAGACTGAATATGGTTTAGCACAGATTCACTTGAAGGAATTTCTCAAAAGGAAGCCTATCCCACACACACTGACAGTTGTCTGATAAATTAATCTCGATTTAGACAGTTTGACATTGGCTCTTAAAATATCACAGTTTTAGAGTGCCAGGTTTTTTTTATCAGCACAGCTCTGAGACTTCACTATTCTAATCTCTATTCACCAAACATTTCTAGTTACATTTTTTCAAGTCCTACAATTCAGTGCACAGTCATTAGTGTACTCTACCTGGCAAAATCCTGCCTAAGCAACCAACTTTTTGGCTGCATAGTACAGAAAACAAAACTTTTCATAGTGTAAATTGGATTCAAATCAGCTATAGTTTATAAAGTTTTCAAAAATGATAGTGAGTTTAGTAGCCAGCTGTTCATTGTCAACCCACATTTTTTAGTACCTTCCATCACAAGGTTTATTTTTCGTATAAAATAATCTCCAATACAACATTCCATGTATTATTAAAAGCAAGAAACAAACATCTGTGCACACAATTTCCAAACAGCAGATTATGTCACTAGCATATTCAGCACAGCGCCAACAGAGCTGCATTTAAATACCCCAGCTGGCTGTGCTGGTCAGCTGGAAAACAGCAGCTTTGAAGCACTGCACTTGTACATACTAGAAAAACTATTAATATTAAATGGTAGCGGTCTGCACTGATAACATCACCTAAAGGGTGAAAAAGCAAAGCAAAGCGGGAGAGATTTAGAGGAAATAGAGATAAGTGGTACAAGTAGAGATGAAAAAGGCATCAGAGAAAAAAAAACAAAAAAGAAACTAAAAAGAGAGACTAAAAATATAGTGCAATACAAGCAGCCACATTCACAGTCAAGCTGTGGTGCCTCGAGAGAAATCCCAGTTGCAAAAGACGGGATGAAAGCCACAGAACTACAGACTGACGATAAGCTTGAAAACAGATCATTTTTAGACAGGCTGTCTCAAAGCAGTGTCCGAGGCACCCAAAGGTCGCATGACAAATCCCCAGACATTGTTTAGAGACATGAGGAAACTATACTGAGGTGAACACTATATTTAAAAGGGCAAAGGATACACAGGAACTTCTGTGCCACATCACATGAATCATTTAACTCCAATATCCTTTTCCAGCAATGAAAGATGTGTCAAAAAAGGTTGTAATAAACTCAAAATACCCATTTATGGTAAAGTTACCCAAAGGCAGATTTATTCCTAATCCGGGGTAGAGACCAAAACAGCTGACGTGCTGGTAACGCAAGCTTTCTTGGGTAAATATCAATATCTCAGGAAACAATAGTATAAATAACTGATTCCCAAACAATGTTAACTAAAAATAAATTAAAAAGAAAATGAAAAGGCTGTTATCTCTGTTAATACGAGCCACTAGAGTAGCTGCGCACAGCAGCCTGGGGGTCTGACCCAAAAGTCTAAATTAATATAATCATACAGTTGGACCCATATCCAAACTCATTTGAAATGTTTCAAATTTCAAGGTCAAGGGTTTGAGTCTGCTGCTGGGCTCTCCAGAGGCAGAGCAGCCTCCCGCAATACAAGGCTGCAGGGTCAGACTCTGCGATGCCTTCATGCAAAGCTGATGCATTACAAAACACTGACGTTGAGAAACTTCAGTCAGAGTGCTCTAAGGAAAAGGTTCTTGCTCTGGCTTACAGCCCGTCTGTTGGAAAGCTCCTCCTCTAGAAAGTTCTCTTTAAAGAATATCTTTAATCTCATCAAGGGCAGGAATGTTCTTAACGACATGTGGTCTATCATCACCTGTATCCATGTCCGCAGTGTCACTCAGTGAAAGAGCTGTGCCTTTGACGCTGCAGTCGCTATCTGCACTACATTAGTCCCCTGCCACCAGGGAGATGCAGTCTGAATACGCGAATCAACAGCAGACAGCTGAGGCCATGCAACATCCTTCAACAGCAGCAAGTCATGCATCAATCCATCCCAGGATACTGGGAGTACAAACTACATCATTCACCTTACTCTTCAAGAACCACTGGTTTCTCTGTGGTGTTATAACATTACCCCTTTAGTAAGTTACTAATCTGTGTTGTCAGTCCATTTGAGTAATTTAATACTTACGCAGACTGCTTAAATTTCATGCTAAAATTAACAACTGTTTATGTTTCTGCTGAAAGCAGTTAAGAGTTTGGTCATTCACTTTAAAGAGCCAGGATCGTACAGTCTGGCTTAAAGTTTTTAAGGTACATTAAAAAAACAAAACAAAAACCCCCAAACCAGACATCCAGAAACCGTAACACACAAAGAGAACTGAGTAGTTACAGACCAAATTCAAACTTTGAAAATCCGCTCCTTGGTATCTACCATATAAGCCTGTTTCTACATCTATGATTTCTATACTCTTACACTTGACTTTAAAATCTTTGGTTTACAAGCCAAATCCTAGCTGGTAACCCAAACATTTCCCCTTCCTCCATCAATGCATGCTCACTCAGCAGCGGATCATGAACATACCTGTATTCTTCCTCTTCTTTGGAGTTCTTTTTGGGTTGGTATTTCTTTGAAAGATTCCTAAAATTAAAGATACATATATATAAAAAATTAAACTTAAAACCTCCTTTAAATTAGCTGGATAATCTTTGCATGCACACACATTCTGTGGGGCTTCAGTTTTTATTTGCAGTGACTAGACACCTTTTCAGAAGTATGACTGCAATTAGGCTTTGATTGCGTTGTAGTAGCACTCAAAGAATGGGCCGCACAGTGCTTCAGTCTCTATAACCACAATAAAGTAGCAGATTCTGAACCTGAGAAGTTAATAAATTAAGGTCATGAAGTCAATACACCTGAGTTCTGGTTCTGTTGCTGCACAAGTCTCCTTCACCTGATCTAAAGGAGAGACCCTTTTACAATAAAAACACTGGTCCTTAGACACACAGACATGCTTTACAAACTCCACCCAGTAGAAGGTGCTACTCCATATCCAAAGGTCAGCCAGCCCATTGAAGCGCGATTTGCTGCAGATGACACTCATGGCCAGGCAAATTTGCCTGCCTTTAGCAGGATGCTTCCAAGGAGGAGAAAAATCTTCATAAAGCTCTGGGAAGTTGCACCGAGATGACAAAAGTGGGATCATTTTATGATTATCAACTGATGCTGGGAGAAATGTGAAATTTTATTATCCCAATTAGCACAGATGCTTGCAGCTCTCGTTACCCCACATCCAACCAATGACTTAATTTTAAAATATTGATATGCTCTTCAAGTGATCGTATCTCGAATAAGAAATTTGAACATAACTGTGTTAGCACATCTGACAGTTAGTATAGAGCTTTCATTGTCCTGAAAGCACTGACTCCAAGCCCCTAGGCCAGCAGCACATCAAGGATTTATTGAACACACCTTGCTGATACTTGAAGCTCAACATTGCACTGTAGCACAATACAACACCATGCATCTTGTAAACAACGCAAACCAGAGAGCTGACAAATCCTACTTAGCAATTTTAAGACCTTTTCAGTGCTGCAGTACTGGGATCTCCTCTATTCTAAACTCAGCCCTATTACTGTATGCCTTCCTGCAGCCTCTGCTACCCTACTGCGAAATGGAAGCCATTTGTTTTAGCTTTACAAGGTTGTTTCAGCAATTAGGAATAACATACAAGTGGTATTGAAGGGATCGTTGTCCAAAGGACTACTAAGTTTCCTTGACCTATCTGTGCCAAACTCTTTGGAGGACTCCCAGAATGCATTTTGTTGAAAAGAAACTGCTTTTTTCAGAGGTGTAACCCACTCCCTGTTGCATGCTGGTTTTACTACTAACTGAAAGACAGCAGGGCCTCTTGTCTCACATTTCTTATTCCTTTTGTTCTCCTTAAGGAATTAAGAAGCATCTGCCCAAACAGAGTAGTAGCCAGAACCCTGGCAAATTCGCACAGACAAACATGTGTTCTCAAAATTTAAGTATCCCTACTGGAAGGGATCCAAATGAGCATCTCCTTTCCAGTCTCTGCCTTCTCTGAAAAGAGGATGCTCTGAAACAATGAACTTTTCTCTAGTTCTGCGTACAGCAGCTTCAACCAAAGAATACCAGCATGGCAAGAATTCTGCAAGCTGTTCTGCATGATTACAGTAAGTCTTACAGCACTCTTCGTACACGATGAGAATGCCTCACTCCAGACACCTGCTTAAAGAGGAAAGGAAAAACCACAAGAAAATGTGCACAGAAGACTCCACTAATAAGGCATTTTCACACACACTCAAAATGCACATCCCTGCACTGTCACGCTGCCCAATTAATTCTGACATACAGAGCTACTGTCTTCTTATGAACTTTTAAAAGTGTAGAAATGCTACAGAGCTGGGGCAAAAAAATCCAGACAGTATGCTTTCATGGAAAAAAAGATTCTGAAAGCATGTAACAAGGATTAGCATCCAAGTTAAACATTTTGTTATTTTCTATGTACTTTATAAAGAACACATAAAATACAGAGTCTATAGATTTGAGTTTTTGTGGTTTTTTTCCCCCCTCTTTCTTTAATCAAAAACATACGTAGGATTTTAAACCAGGATACACACAAAAAACCCAGAAGCGATACTGAATCCAGAAGTGATACTGAATCCAGTAAGAATCAATACGACTCTCACATTGAAATTCAGCGTGCAATCATGCAGTGTCACGACCAGAACACCAGCGCTTCCCAGGTTCAAGCTCATGAAGCAATGACACCTTCAGAGCTAACTGGAGGGAACTAAAACACAAGAACAAAGATCAGCAGTAAAATAGCAATTCTGGAAAAAAATCTGTGCTAGCCTGTGCACCTGTCTCCAATTCACATTTCTATTTGCCTGTCACACTGCATCATTTTTTTCCGCTTTTCCAGCTTGTTTCTCTGCTCCCTTATTTCCACTTCTTTGGTATCTTGCTCTCTCTCACATTTATCATCCATCAGAGCTTCCCGATTCTCAGATTAACCTGATATCTTAAGCATTCTTTCTTCCAATACGTCTTCCTCAAGGCTATCTATCCATCCATCATCACATTAGGCAAGGCTTTTGACACACTTTTTGATGCTCAAAGTGTGTGTGCTGTAAGGTCAGTAGTGACTAGGGAAGGAGAAGAACGAAACAGCACTTCAGCACTGAGCGCATAGCATCCAGCATGTCACATCCAACAGAAGTTCAAAACAAAACGCAGGAACAAGTGAACGCTCTACCATAACTTCTGCATCCCTTCCTTCCCAGCCTAGTTTAATGACTCAACAATTATAAAGAAAACAATCATGTCAAATCTGAACTGGACTCTCAAACCGGGACTGACTGTACATGGTACAAGCAGGCCTTGAACAGTGCAGGCACAATGTAGAAGGTATGTGACGCTGGGGAGTTTCTTCCACTGGTGGAACCAGATAAATTTGATGCATCCTGAAAGTATGTAGATCTAATTTAACACTTTCAAAAACATATATTACATATATAGCTGCAGAATTATGAAGAGGAAGGAAAGAAACATTTTTAAATAGAAGACAATTAAACTTCAACAGGTGACCAGGCTGAGATGTAGATAGTCAGACAGGAAGAATAGCTAGCTAGGGAACCCAGAGACCAAGCAGAAAACACAAGTTTCACGAAAGAAGAAAAAGTTCAGCAGCTTTACTTACACTATAAATAAAACTTTGAGTTAAATCCACAGGAGTATCTTGTGTTAACTTGTCCCTTTTTAATAGTATGTCTGCATGTTATGACATGCAGTGATTGCTGCAGCCCTTTTACACCACATGGATGTGATATAAGACAGGTTTGCATCAGGCTTGAGGAGACTTATTAAAAGCAGATGCATGATTTTTTTTTTTAATGTCCAGCACTGTTTTAGCTCAACATTTGACAAGTCTACATTTTTGTTTTTTCTTTTATATCTCTAACTTCTTAGATGACTCCAAACAGCATTGTGTTTAAGAGTCCTCAGGGATGAATGTATTTATCCTCAAATCATACCCATGGGTCAGGGAGACAAATGCAGCTATGCATGGGGAATTAAAATACAGAGAGAAGAAACAAATTGACCAAGTTTGTTTTGGAAGTCTAGGACAGAATAAGAAATAAAACTCATGAGTTCAGTTTCGAGACAGTTTTACCTGTGACTATCTCCCACTTTCCTTAAACATTTTGTTTGTGTGTTTATTTTCATAATTACGCTCTTTACACCTGAAATTTGTCATCCTAAGAAATTAACTTATTTCTAGTCTAGTCTAGTGTGTAATTCTTCATAAGACAGGTCTGCTCACACAGATACTCTGCTGGGGTTTCCCAGTCCAGTCATACTCCTTCTTCCAGCTCATTTCACCTCTGTAATTCAATCTCTTCTCATCTCCGTGGGATGCGAGCAATTTGTTCCTGCACAACTCATTTTCTACTTCCTCCTTGTCTATAGCAGAAACCCTGGGGAATCCTTGTGGCATTCCCCTGAGAAAGCACATAACTATACAGACAGGGGTTTTATCAACTAACAGCTCCTTGTAAATAACAGGCCATTGTGCATCTCAAATCCAATCTAACACAAGCATCAAAGATTCTGGGCGATTTTTTTTTTTTTTTAATAGACATTGTGCTTTAGATATATACAGATCAACTAGAACCTCAGATCTCAATCTCTATAAATACTGAGAAGATGGAAGGGGTTCTAACATGTATTATAGTCATGGAAAAAAAAAGGTATGGATTTACTGGAGGGGTTAGGAAGGATTAGTCCTGTACTCCCCTCCCTGGTTAGCTCCATCACTTCCAGTTTATCACTCCAGACACTAGTGGCTGCCAACGATATTGCACCACAGCCTCTCTCGGCCGCAGAAGGACTGCCTGTGTATTGTATTCCCTTCTAACCCCTGTTCACCTCTCATTTTTTCTATGTTACTGGGAAAAGCAGGGTAAGAGCTACTCATTGTGGGAGGGTTCTTAGTACCTCTTCCCCATTTACACTGGATCTGACCTCAAGGAATATGTTTTCTGGGTCTGGTTCACATACACTCGTCTCTCTAACTACAACCTGATGGTCGAAGCAGACATGTAGAAAGTACCTAGCAGGAATTTCCAGTAATTTAGCTACTTCAGATAAATTCACAGAATCTCTGCTCTGTTCAGGAGACACATCACAAGAACAGTGGCAAGATTATAAGACACTCAAAATTCAAATCTCAGGCTGCAACCTGGCTAACTACACAGATGAAATTTCCAAGGGCTGAGACTGACTTTCTGACCTGCAGTTTCTCCAACACACGTTCAAAAAGAGCCTGTCTTATGAAAAGAAACCCTAAACTTTGCCTTACAACAAATGATCATTATTCTGCTGAATTCTTAAACCCTTCAGCATTTACGCGCAGCAGTCCTAATTTCATGGAAAACATTACAATGCTATCCTCAAAGCCTGAGCCATTAATCATGCATAAATCGTGAGTAAGCCCTAGTATGCTACTCAGTCACCTAAATAACCTTTCTTTTTGCAAAGCATATGATTTTTAGCAGAGACAATAAAGCAGTATCGTAAATTGACTTTAGCTTTCCATTCTCTAAATTAAAGCTATTCTCTAAAAGCCATTATTATTAACCAAACAAATTACCACCACTGAAACAGTAAACTTACAGATGATTACAGGCTCTGAACAGATGCAACTCAAAGTCCAGGACTTTATGTATCAACTTACCTAAGCTGCTTTGCATAGCTGAGTTCAATCTCTGTTCTTTCTTTTACAAACTTGATGTATTTTTCCAGAACATCAATACCCCATTGCGTGTGTTTTTCTAAGTTGTCAAACTGGTCCTGCAATGAATCAAAAAAATAGTTTCGTCTCGTTGAACATAGAGATAACTAAAAATAATTTCCAAAGTGCCTATCACCATAAAGAAAGTGTTATTAATATTTTCCATTACCACAGTTAGACATTTTTGTAGCAACACAGCTTTTTAAATCAATGGAAATCTGTCTTTTAACACGAGACAGATTCAGTACCATTCTTCATTCCTCATTTCTGAATCAGTTTCATTTCAGAAGTCCTGGCAATTCTACTGAATACAATTTTCTAATATGAAGACATACTTAGACAAAGGATAGGAAATGGTTATTCTTGCCAGTACTTTATTTTACTCTGAAGAGTTAATAGAAGTTCCATGAATTTGAGGTCTACTCCTAATTAATAATTCTGATTTTAGTCTGAAAAATATATTTATACTCAAGCTTTGTCAGTGTTGCAAATTTAAAATATCATTTAGAACAGCTAACAATCTTTTTACAGAACAGATTTTACTTCCCCTATAGCCGGTATTCTTGCCAGTACTTTATTTTACTCTGAAGAGTTAATAGAAGTTCCATGAATTTGAGGTCTACTCCTAATTAATAATTCTGATTTTAGTCTGAAAAATATATTTATACTCAAGCTTTGTCAGTGTTGCAAATTTAAAATATCATTTAGAACAGCTAACAATCTTTTTACAGAACAGATTTTACTTCCCCTATAGCCTGTTTTGTTCTAAAACAAAGATGCCACAAAAATTGACATTAGCTATATTTACAGTTAAGTTTTCTTGTCTACCTCCATTTATATACAGATGCTACTTTGTTCTTCAAATATCATTGCCCTCAAAAACAGTCACACATGTTTTCAATAACATCTTTTTCAATCAAGAACATTCCACAAGTCAGTTTGGGATTTGCAAATGCCAAGAGAAATTAAGCAACTCTAAATCCAAATTAATTATCCAAGCCAGCTTATTACTGTCTGCAGATTTAACTCAAAATTACCTTATTTTTTAAAATTTGGTTACTTCAACAACACTCAAATTCCATAATCATCCATTCCACACAGCATTTCAGAAGTTAATGTTTCTACAAGACTTGAAAAATATTTTTTAAACTATGATACACTGAATAATTATCCTGACAGAAACACAGTGTAAATAAGATCTTTAATATCAGCCTGACTTATTTGGCATCAGGTTCCATTATGTTTTACATGGAAAATAGAGAATAAGTTTGTACATTTTCAGTACAAAGGTTAGATTTACAACATTTTCCAAAAAACTGTACACAGCAATAGATTTGGGTCAGATGCTTAGCTGCCACAATTAAAGTTTCTGACAGAAGTGATGCTTCTTTTTATCTGCCAAAGATTTGGTCTTGTGACTTTCAGTTTCTAGAGCTATCATCAAATGTTATCAAAGCAATATAAGCCCACTTCCTTAGATGCACAGAGTAGAAAAATAACAAAACTACTACAAAGCCTAGTTTATGAATATGTTGCTTTTAAGCAAATACCACTTTCTGCTTTGTGGCATATCTGGCTCTGACAGTAAATTAGATCAGCATCAGGAGAAATTCTTCCAGCATTGAACAAAACAGTTGTGTACACAGAAGCTGCTACTTGCTAACAAAACTGCTTTAACTGTATTTTGAAGGGGAGAATTAGAAGCCATGTTAGAGGAGGCAATCTGCAAAACCCTAGCAAGAAGCAAGTTAAAACAGCAGGTAATATGCATGGAATAGGACACACTGGGTTTGCGTATCTGTGTATTTGCTCTGGTTTAGCATAAGGTACTATTTTAAACCCATTCAGCCAAACCAGACTAGGCTTCAGTTTAAGTTATGTCAGTATTAGTCAAAGAGGCACTGGGGGGAGAACAGCAAAAGGGCAATAGTCTAAAGTTACAAAAATAGTAAAGAACTTCAAAGCCCCATGCTCCAGGAACTAAGAAAAAGTGGTTAAGGGCAACTGAAAAAAACAAAACAAAACAAACCAAGACTCAAACTACACAGAATAAAAGCCTAACTTCCAGCAATATACATTGCCCTTAAACCACTATAACATCATTCACTCAAAAAGAGGATGTACGTGTTCTGCAGAAAGGGAAGACGTGTACTAAGCCAGTACATATTTGCATATAGACAAATCCTTATTTCAGGCAATTTCACAGCTGGGGAGAATACAAAGATGACATGGGTAACATCACGGACCTCTCCTCCTCCCGGAGGGCTCAGATCAGGAAGAAACATGGTGTGCTGTGCTGGCGTTGTACTCCAGACAACGAGGCAGCTTCTGCTCTGCTTCAAATATACAACCTCTACATCTCTCAGATTATGCTGGCGTCAAGAAAGTAGTGCAAACATGGCCTTTTTAAGGTTTCTGATAAAGAGGTCTTGTAGCTATCCCACACCTTACTCTTCCACAATTTACATTATTTAACATAAACACATGCATATAAAATAAATACCCCACAAGGCAAATCCATTACTCACAAGTTTACATGCATTCACACACACTCCCAACTTTGAGAAGGGAAACCTCCAGGAGGGAAATCCACTCCCTAATCCCTGTAAGCAAAATTAAACCACCCTTATCAGATATACCGTGCTATAAAGGTCATGGTTTCCCATAGGAAACAATAGCTTTCAAGGAGACCCTACCCTTCGAGAGAATTCAGACTGCTGACTGCACAGAAAGATAGAGCAGGTTCACCCTGGAAAGGCAATCTTGGTGGTGGCTTGTTCAAACCTCTTCCACCACCATCACCCCGACTAAATTCTCAGAGCATCATTTAGATTGAAGTATGAATAAAAACCTGAAAATGGCTCCAGGTAGCTGCTTCAGTTTGGTCTGTTATCCCATAGATGGATCTGCTGGACTGTTTCCGCGGCCTCACTACGTCAAGTTTGGCAAAAGAAAACTCCATGATGTGCAGTGCAAAGGCAAATACACCGTGGCACAGCTGTCAGACCAACTGTGTGAAGGTGCTAACTTTATCAGTAGAAAGTGAGCAGACACACTTGTCCTGCGCCAAGCCGTAACCAGAAGAACCTCAACTAGATAGATAAACTACAAGCGCTGACCTCCGCTATCAAGAAGCGAGGCAAGGTGAAATTTAGCTTTCTGCAGACTTTGCTGAAGAGAAGAGTTTCTGTTCTTTTCCAGGCATAGAACAGTTTTGGCCCAAGTGCCATTTCACTAAGCAGCCAACACCCCACAACAGTGTTTTACACTGGGGTCATGTATTCCATTATCCATTCTCTTTTCTGTGTTCCTTAAGGACAAAAAAAGTCAGTAAAATTGGCAACACCATCACTTGCTGAGCATGAGATTCCAAAGGAAAGGCAGTGCAGCCAGAGGGACCTAACACAGATGTGTCCTCCTTGTTTCATGGATCTGCTCAGCAAGCTGAAGGTTGGCAAAGGCTCTGTGTTAGAGCTAAGGAATCGTACAGATGACAGAGTACACAGAACGCTTTGATCGTAAAGCATAACCTTTGATTCATGGAATCCCAAAGTCCAGAGATACATGCAATCAATGCAAAAACAGAACTTCTAAAAAGGAGATTTTTGAGAGTAGTTATCAACAGTGTCATCCCTTCAAACAATCAACATGTAAAGATTTTTTTAAAAAAATTGATTTAGTATTTCCAAAGTTTATTACAAAAATGCATTATCACATGGAATCTGAAAAGTTTAAAAAAAATCTCAACTATTCAGTAGCAAATTTGGTCTAGTTTTAGTATCTCTAACAATGAGATTTTTCACCCTTCTCCGTAATAGACTGCTTCCCATAAAAGATTTCCCAGAAGCAGACTGCTAGAAAAGTAACTTCTTCAAAAGACTCCCAAACTCCAGTACTATGTTTCATTTCAGTTTTCACTGCACTCCAGAATAATTTTATAGCTTAAAACAAGCTCTTCATAGTAATTAATCCCAGCAAAAAAGATGTCATGAAGAGGGCAATGCCATCAGTAAATTAGCTAGTATTTTGGTTAACTTAAGCACTTGTAACACCAGGCATAAGCTTCTTCTCATATTCAAACAGTAAAACTCAGAAGGTGGTTTTCAAACACAAAGATCAAGGCATCAGTGTCACACTGAAAGCCAGCAAGAAGCTGGTGGCTGGGGAAGCATCTACCTTACAAAAAGAAGCAAGAGTGCAGCTTGTGAGGATTCATCTTGTCTCTGCTCTGAAGGAACTTGGCTTTACAACCAGAAGTCTCATCAGAGCAGCACACGGTTTCAGCACAAAGCCCACCATCCCTGCCAGTGACTGGATCCACGTTTAGCAGATAAAGTGTGCCACTACAGCTGTGCAGGTTTGGTCATCAGCTGGAAGTTGGCTCAGGTACCTCCACCTGAGCTGCTCTTTCAGCTTTTGATTTCAATGTACGTCTTCTCCTCTGTTTGTTTTTGCAGCCTCCTCACCCTTCCAGTTAGGGATAACATTAGAAAACAAATTCCACAAGGCTTTAGCATTCTTCAAGAAAAGCAAGAAAACAAGACAAGAAGCACGACGCAGTGTTCAGTGAGAATGCTCCCACCAGACCACAGTGAGGGGGGAAACAAAAGGTCACTTTGCACCTGTTTTCTCTGAAAAAGAAACACCAAAACATTTTCTAGAAGCATTCACTACTTTCTTCTGACTCAGAGACTGGTTTACATATAAGAACATTCTTGAGCAAAATACTGCACTGACAATGAGTCGAGGACCTCAGCAGGCTCCCACCACAGCCTTCACGTTATCGTCTATGTCCTTTGGCCTTCCAACCTGCCAAATCTCATGTTCTCCCATTTTCAAGTCCCTATACTTACTTATTGTGATATCAACAGCTTATTAATTAATCTTGATTGACAATCAAGATATGCACATAATTAAACTACTCACACAGCTGTAACTTAGTCCTCTTCATCAGAACCCACCAGCTTCCCAGTGACAGCAACACATGCCAGTACAAACATTTCATGCCTTCCCCAAGCGATGGAGGAGTTTGAATATATGAGCTGACCCACCTGACTTC